TTATATCTATATACTCTTATGTACATGTTTTATTAAATTATAATTTTATTTATAGCATATAATTTCATAAGGTGGCACATGTTTGAATCTTCTTAGATACATTATTTTTTACTTATTTTTTCTCTAATTATACGGTGATAGATGTTTTATTAAATTAAAATTAGGATTGAATTGTTAAAATGTGTAAGTAATGAGAAACAAATACGTAAATAACTAATTTTGTTAATGACCATGTCAACTCATTCGTCAAATGTTAATAACATGTGGCTTGATTGACATTGTTTAAATAGTTAAGTGATCTTATTGACAAAATTGAAAGGTCGATGGTCAAAATAGAATACCCGAATAATTAAGTGGCCATGAGTATAGTTTACCCATACTTTTTTTTAACAATAAACTCTAATATTTATTATATTATTAATAAATATTCAATTAATGAATTATAAACATTTATTAACAATACTTTCAAAATCAATTCATTAATAAATCAAGCGATTATGAATCTCCCCTTAATTGATAGTGATGAATTAATAGTAGGTCACAGCTAGGCTTCAAAAGCTAGAGAGACATTCAAAAAAATTATAGAAGGAATTAAACACAAGTCGATAGGTTTATTTTTAACATTGATCCTATTCTCTTTAATTAGCTGACTCTTATTCCCATATGTAATGGGGTAAGGGGAGGTAAAAATAGTAGGTTGCCCCCAACTCCAGTTTGAGAGCAGCTTTCGTAGGAGACCTGCCCTCCGTGGGACTCAATCCCACGACCCCAAGGTTAAGAGCCTTGTACTCTACCAACTAAGTTGGATGGTCATTTCAATCCTATTCTCTTTATACCATAATAAAAAATTTATAATGATTATCTTATAAAATATTACAAATATATAGAGAAGACAAATCAATAAATTTGAATTATAAATAATAAAGTTGCTCTAATTAATTTAAGAATTATTTTATTGATCATCTAATGGTTCATTGGAAGGTCATATGTTGAAATATTAAGTTTAACTTTTAAACAATCATTAGATAAAAAACAATCATTAGATTAAAAAACTCATAAATATAATCATTATCATTGTTCAATTTATTAATCACTTCAAGACAATTGAATTTATTTACTTTAAACAAAACATCATGTAAATTATTTAATGATAAGCAAAAATAACTTTACATTTGTGCATTTTTAGGGCATCAATATATATAAATCTTATACAAATTTGTGCATTACATTTATATATAGGTAAAGTAGACAAATGGTTCTCTGACTATAGAACGTTGCTTTGTTGAGTTCTTCGATTATTAAAAGTTATAAAATGATCCTTTGATTATAGGGCATTGCTTTGTTAAGTCCCCCGACTATTAAAAGTTACAAAACGATCACTTGACTATTCATATGTTCCAAACTTGTCTTTTTTGTTAAAAAATTAACGGCAATCTGAGTTGAACGTTAAGTTATTGACTGTGATATGATAAAATCTTATGCCAAAATCTCAAATAACTATCTATCTTAGTCAACATATTAATGTCTAGCCCAAACTGTCGTCATTTTTTAATGAAAAAAAGACGAGTTTGAAATATATTAATAGTCGGTGACCATTTTATAACTTTTAATAGTTGAATGACTCAATAAAATAAACCCCTGTAATTGAAGGACCATTTGTGTACTTTACCCATATATATATCACAATCTCATTTAATTAAAGTTAAGTACAAATTTTCAAAATATTTTTATTATAAAATTTAATTTATTTTCATAAAATAATATTATAAAGAGTTTCAAATACAACTAAACAATTTATAAAAATAGAATACATCAAGTGGCATCAATAGTAAAAGAGAATGTTTGTTCACGAAATATAAAATTACTTTTGGGAATAACATTACTGGAATGTGACATTACAATGAGAATGTTATATTACCTTTTTTGGTTTGTTTAGTAGGAATGTAAGGTTACAGTGTTTGGTTGGAGGAATACAAGATTACTTGGATGCATATTTTACCAAATTATCATTGTGATATATATTTTTCTTCAAAAATTAAACTTTAATATTAAATTATAAATATTTGAATAAAAGTTTACAAAAATATTTTAATCATTGTGGTATCTAACTTTTAAGAAAAATATATTTAATATATTTAATATATAATTAATACATTAAACTTATATTTTTAAATAATATTCATATAAAAAATATAATATACTATAAAAAATAATATTATGATATCTAGTAGAAAAAGATATTATTTTCAGTGTATTAGATCCATTTTTTAATAACTCAAAGTTAGATATTATTTTAAATAATTACATTTTTACAATAATATTATTTTTTCACCTCATACAACTACAAATAATTAATATATTAAATATTAAATATTAAAAATATATAATATTTTTAAATACTAAAATTTATTAATACTTTACTAAATCAAACTCTCTTTTTTGTTGTTCTCTAGTTCCAAGGCTTTGCCCTGACTAATTCGGACCGACTCATATCGCACACCTAGCTTTGGTGGGTGAGTCTCCCAGTGGGGATTTTTTTGCATACACAAGGACTCGAACATAAGACCTTGCTTAAGCAATATCAAGTTGTAACTTGTACTTTGAAGCAAGTTTCGACAAAATAGAGGTCGGATTCGGACTACAGGTATCAAAGCAAAGCGACGTATGAAATTTGGGATCGAACGATCACCATCTATGGTCGTTGATGATTGTCGACAGTGACATCCGACTACCTTATGTTTTTATTTATAGTTGGGTGAGCAAAATAGGAGAGTGAGTAAAGTTCAGTGAGGAACAATGTAATTTATCATTTATATTTTCTATTAAATAATAAAAAAATGACACATCATCATAACATTAGAGAGAGAACGACAGAGTAAGCAAAATGATTGAATATGTAAAGTTCAATGAGCAAACTAGAAAAATTAAAATAACGATGAATAAAATAGGAGAAAAATAAAGTTCAATGTAGAACGATGTAATTTACCCATTATTAAATTATGACTTTTAGGGTGTTTAAAATCGGGTACCCATATTTTTTGGTACCCGAAATTTTTGGTACTAAAATATTGACCCGTGTCCCGGCCCATTACATCCAAGTACCCGTAAAACCTGGGTACCTGTATTTTCGGGTCACAGGTACCCCATTCATAATTTCTTTTGTTTTTTCTTTAAATTATATCATTTTTAAAATAATATATATAGAAAAATTCTAAAATATATAATTCACAAATAAAATTTAAAAATTCAAATTACATAATTGAAAGAAAGATTATTAAATAAAAAATAAAAAAATATATAATTAAATTTTAAGTGTTTCAAAGTTAAAATAAATATTTTAAAAAATAATTTAGAATGTTAGTGTGAAATAAATTTTAAAAATTAAAAATTTAGAATGTTATGGTAACAAAATTTAATAAATTAGGAATTTAGAAGGTTAGAGTGAAATTTAAAATTTGATATAAAATAAAAATATAATAAATCAGATATTAGGTCGATGGGTACTCGATTAATCATCATTTTGTGACTCAGGCCCGATACGGAAACCCAAAAAATTTAATAGGCCGGCTACCCAACTCAAAAAATTAAGTACTTTCCAATATTTTTTAACTAGATAGACATGTCATCGAGTCTGATCAATTAGGTCGGATAATTTTGAATACCCCTAATAACATTTGGATTTGGCTGACGTTGGCAATAATACTCTTGAATGTTGACTGAAAAAGGACCACCAAGAAGGAAAATCAACTCTGCTGGGAGTAAAAATATATATTGGAAAGTAATTAAAATCCAGATTACAAAATGTTTTTAATGAAATGATTAATTATATCAAATATTTTTTTGAAAAATAATTTAAATTTTTGTAAGTACAATTGATACATAATTTAGAAAATATTTACGAATAACTTGATATGAGTAAAATTATTTGTATTTATTTCAAGTGATTTTTCAAATTTTATAATTATAATAATTAATGATGTATTAATAAATATAATTAGGAGTGAATAAAATTTGATTCAATTTAAAATTTAATTTTTAATTAAATTTGATGTCAAAAAATCGACTTAATTAAATTTTTTTCAAGTTTAAGTTATAAAATAGGGTTCAGAAAACTTGAAATTTTTAGTGATTAGTAGATTATTTTTAAGTTTGAGTAGAGTCTTTCAACTTTACATGACATATGTATATCATATATGAAAAAATATAAAGAAATATATATGTCTATCACATATGATTATAGAAAATCATTTAAATTAAAATCAATTAGTACCATAACATTATAAATATTTATAGTCAAATTTAAACAAAAATTTCGAACAAATCAACTTGAAAAAAATTAAATAAAATTTAAATTATAAAACAATACTCATCAATTCGACTAACTAAATTTGTTAACTCAATTTGATTAAATTGAATATCCACTCCTAAACACAATATAAATCGATATGCTAATAATGTTATGAAAGTTAAAACTAATAAAAATTACCCAAATCAAAGACTGATTTGTTTATATGTATAAAGGGCAAAAAAACATAAAGTGATTGTGGAACAAAAAAGAAATTTATTATAAAAGGAAGTTTAACTGTTTAAGGCTTGATCCATCCCCTAATCTGAAGCACTTAATTCATCAATCTAGAGAGACAAACATATTATAATCATGATTTAAATTAATAATTAAATGGGGTTAGATTAAGAAGTATAAGATTTATTAATAAAATGTAATTAATTAATTGAAGATGAGAAAGAGGAGAAGTGTGTCACATGGCATGTGAGCCAACAGCTGTTTCCATTCCCCCACTTTGATAAATACGCTTCTTACTATCTTCAGTTCCTCTTTCGACTCTCATTTTTTCTCTTTCCTTCGTCAAGACCCAAGCTTTTTCTTTCATTTTTTTCTCTTAAACCAGAGCTCTAGCTCTCTCTTGTTTTCTCTTTTATGGAAGGGCTCATACCTTAACCCCCTACTCTTTCTTTCTCCTACTCTCATTTTAATTCTAAAGATGAGACCTTTGTTTGCTTCAGGACCTTTCTTTTCTCACCTCATTCTCATTTCTCTTATTTCCTTTGAAGCTGCTTTTGTTGCTTCTTCTTCAAACAACAGGGATTCTCAACTACTTCTCGGTTTCAAAGCCAGCTTGCCGGACCAATCTGTTCTTCAAAACTGGGTTCCTAACCAAGACCCTTGCAGCTTCAGTGGTGTAACGTGCCAAGGCTCCGGAGTTTCCTCTGTTGAACTCGGTTACACCTTGTTAAACACGGATTTTCACTCAGTTGCTGCCTTTCTTTTAGCTCTGAAAAACTTGGAGTACCTTTCTTTGATGAAAGCCGGCATCACCGGCAACATTTCTTTCCGTTCTGGATCCAAGTGCAGCTCCCTGTTAACCACTTTAGATCTGTCTCAAAACACCTTGTCCGGTCCCGTTTCTACCGTTTCCGCCTTGGCTTCTTGCTCGAACTTGAAGTTTCTCAATCTATCAACCAACAGCCTCGTGTCTTCCGGTGGTGAAGAATCCAGGGGTTTGCAGCTGAGTTTGGAAGTTCTCGATCTTTCTTTCAACAAGCTTTCTGCTGTAAACGTGGTTCCTTGGATCCTTCATGGTGGTTGCAATGAGCTGAAGCACTTGGCTTTGAAAGGAAACGAGATTGCTGGTGAAATAGATGTCTCAAATTGCAGAAAATTGAAGATTTTGGATGTTTCTTGGAACAATTTCTCAATGGGGAATCCTTCATTGGAGGCTGCTCAGCTTTGGAACAGCTTGATATCTCCGGCAATAAGTTTTCCTTCGACATCACCCCTGCAATTTCTTCGTGCGTGAACTTAAATTTCTTGAATGTATCGAGCAACCAGTTCTCCGGTCGGATCCCGGCTTTGCCAACTTCCAATTTGCAGTACTTTATTTGGCCGACAATAAGTTTCAAGGACAGGTTCCTCTGTATTTAACGGAAGCTTGTTCAACCCTTGTGGAGCTGGTTCTCTCTTCAAACAATCTCTCTGGTATGCTTCCTACTGGCTTTGCTTCTTGTTCTTCCTTGAAGTCTTTCGATGTATCCACCAATAATTTCACCGGTAGACTCCCCATCGAGATATTCCAGAACATGAATTCCTTGAAGAAGCTTGGTTTAGCTTTTAATTACTTCTCTGGTCCTTTGCCTGAGTCTTTGTCCAGTCTTTTCAACCTGGAGGCTTTAGATCTCAGTTCCAACAGATTTTCAGGGTCAATTCCTATTTCTTTGTGTGAAAATCCCACAAACAGGTTACAAGTTCTTTATTTGCATAACAATATCTTAATTGGCTCGATTCCTGCTAGTCTCAGTAATTGTTCACAGCTTGTTTCACTCCATTTGAGTTTCAATTACCTCACGGGTACCATTCCCACCAGCTTGGGTGCTCTCTCTAAGCTTAAGGATTTGAGGCTTTGGTTGAATCAGCTCCATGGAGAAATCCCTCGGGAGCTCAGTTACATTCAGACACTCGAGACCTTGATTCTCGACTTCAATGAGTTGAGTGGAGCAATACCTTCTGGTCTAAGCAACTGTACCAAGTTGAACTGGATTTCGTTATCCAACAATAGGTTCACCGGTGAGATTCCCGCTTCGCTTGGCAAACTTTCGAGTCATGCGATTCTCAAGCTCAGCAATAACTCCTTCTATGGAAGAATCCCACCTGAGCTCGGAGATTGTCAAAGCTTGATATGGTTGGATCTTAATACAAATTACTTGAATGGGACTATCCCTCCGGTGCTGTTCAAACACTCTGGTAAAATAGCTGTCAATTTCATTGCCGGGAAGAGGTATATGTATGCCAAGAATGATGGGAGCAAAGAGTGCCATGGGTCGGGGAATCTACTCGAATTTTCCGGAATTCGTCAGGAACAGTTGGGTAGAATTTCCAGCCAGAACCCTTGCAACTTTACCAGAGTGTACGGAGGTCACACGCAGCCTACGTTCAACGATAATGGTTCCATGATTTTTCTTGATCTTTCGTACAATTTGCTGTTGGGGGCTATTCCGAAGGAGATTGGCACAATGCCATATCTGTTTATCTTGAATCTGGGTCACAACAATATCTCTGGAACCATCCCACAAGAGATTGGGAACTTAAAGGGCCTTGGCATTCTTGACCTTTCCTACAACAGGTTGGAAGGGTCAATTCCACAATCCATGACTGGCTGCACGTTGCTGAGTGAGATTAATCTGTCGAACAACCTTCTCTCTGGCATGATTCCAGAAACCGATCAGCTGAAACGCTTCTGGCTAGTGATTTTTTTAATAATTCAGGTCTCTGTGGTTTCCCTCTCCCCCTTGTGAGAATTCAGCTGCTGCTTCGGGTTCTGAGCATCGAAAGTCTCATTGCAGACAAGCCTCTCTTGCTGGGAGTGTGGCAATGGGATTGTTGTTCTCTCTTTTCTGCATCTTTGGTGTGATCATAGTTATTGTAGAGACTAAGAAAAGAAGGAAGAAACAAGAATCTTCTCTTGACGTTTATATGGACAGTTGTTCCCACTCTGGCGCAACGAATACCAGCTGGAAGTTAACAGGTGCTAGAGAAGCATTGAGCATCAACCTTGCTACGTTTGAAAAGCCCCTTCGGAAGTTTACCTTTGCTGATCTTCTAGAAGCCACTAATGGCTTCCATGACGACAGCCTTATTGGCTCTGGTGGTTTCGGTGATGTTTACAAGGCCCAGCTGAAAGACGGGAGTGTTGTTGCTATCAAGAAATTGATACATATAGTGGACAAGGTGACCGAGAAACGACGAAGATGGAAACCATTGGGAAGATCAAGCACAAGAACCTCGTTCCACTCTTGGGTTACTGTAAGGTGGGTGAGGAACGGCTTCTAGTTTACGAGTACATGTATGGAAGCTTAGAGGATGTTTTGCATGGTCAAAAGAAAGCTGGGATCAAATTGAATTAGGCAGGAAGAAGAAAGATAGCCATTGGAGCTGCAAGAGGGTTGGCATTTATGTACCATTACTGCATTCCTCATATAATTCATAGGGACATGTGTCGTAACCGTCTTTCGGTTGGGCTCCAGAATTGGGTTTCGACTTGAAAAATGTGGATTGGAGTCGCCACCGACCATTTTAAAACGAAGTTAGGTGGGTCGGACACCATCTTACATGATCTGCGTTTTTACCAGAAATGTATCGGGTTCGGGAGTCGGTTACGGTCAAGGAAGATTAGCACCTTTGAACCGCCCTTTCGGTACCAATTAATTTGTCGGTTGTCTTAGTTGCGAAAATTCGAAATTTAAATTAAAATTTAACAGTCCCGATTCAAATTACTTACAATTGATTGATTTGAATACCCTTAAAAGATAAAAATATTTGACTCATAACGAGTATAAAATCGAATTAGGATAGCAAGTGTGCAAAAGTGAGAATAATAAATAAAACAAAAAAAATAAAAAATAACAAAACACGTAAAAAATAATAATAAAATAAACAAAATGAATAAGATGTTTAAAAAACAAAGACACAGATAAAGGGAAAATATTAATGGAGTAAAAAAATAAAAAATATAAAAAAAATTAAAAAGAATAAAAATAATATGTACATATAAAGTAGTATTTACGAAAAAAATAAAAATAATAAATATATAATACTAAGTAAAACAAATAAAAAATAAAGATACACATGATATTAAGAAAAAAAATAATAGAAATAAAAAAAATAAAGTAAAAATATAATATATATAAATAAATAAAAACAAAAATAGAATATTAAGAAAATATATATATAAAAACGTATAAATTATAATATTAAGAAAAAATATATACATAATAAATGGAGAAAAATTAATACATCTATATATATATATATAATGATATAAGATATATATAATATAAATAATATAATATAAATAAAAAATAATATAGTAAATAAATAAAAAAAATATAATTAAAAATATATATATAGGGGACGAAATTAATATAAAAAGTAAAATTAAAGGGTAAATTTCAAGGTAAATTAAAGATTAAGATTGACTTGGGGGATATTAAATACTTTAAAAAAATGAACATGCCTCGGGAGTAGATCTAGGTACGAAACTTCGAAACCCCACCCCTTTTTGGTTATCGGCTCAACCCACGCTTTGGGTTATTCAAACCAAATCTCAAGAAAAATAACATGCACATGCGAGAAATAAACGAATCAATATAAAAAAATATGCTACATTTTATTTTCTTTTCGAATCGTTTACAATAGTTTTGCCTTTGTATTTTTTCGTGCTTTCCTTTGTATCTTGTATGTAAATCCTGCGTTACAAATGGGGAGGATTACATGTATTTATAGTGAAAAAAACTAACTATTTTTAGAATCCTATTAACAATAGAATCCTAATGCAACTAGACTCCTTGCTCGATTGTTGCACGTTTGTTGGTGTGGTTGTTGCTTTAAAAGATATGGTGGTGGAAGAGTCCTCTTAGGAGATGAACTCTTGCTAGTTCTATCTTCTAAGAAAATGGGAGTCTACAGCTGCCCCTCTTTATCTTTTTTCGTGGAACGAAAAATAGGACAAAGATAAAAAGACACAAATTTTTGTTCAGTGGAGTTGAAGAATAACTCCCTGTCGAATTAAGTTGCGGATGGCTCCTCCGTCGCGAAGTTGATTCCATCTTGAAATGATTTGAATCAGAATGTGGCTTCTAGTTGTAGTCCACTTTGGTCTTCTTCTCGGTTTAAAGACCTTGGCTAAAAATTTGACTGGAAAGTAATCCCTTGACTCCACAATGTGGTTGATATGCTCTCGAGCTGAATGAAACCGAACTCGAAAAGTCTTCGTTAAGAGATAGCTTTTCTCGACTTAAGCTATACTGACGAAAAAAAGGCTTCTTGCTACTAAGGCACGGCTAACCCAGATCTTCTTCTCGGCTTGAAAACCTTGATTGCAGCCGGATAATAGTGTGATTGAGGTGTCATCGAGCTGAATGGAATCAAACTCGACAATTTTCGTTGACAGATAGCCCTTCTTGCCTTGAGCTATGTTGTAAATTTAATTTACCTCTGAGTTGAATGTAATCGAACTTGAAGGTCTTTGGTGATAGATAACCCTTCTTTGAGTTGGATATCCTTCGTCATGAAGTTGAAATCCAATCTAGAGATGGATGTTGCTTATGTGCACGATTCCCCTTCGTCGTGAAGTTGAAACCGCGGGTGGCCCCTTCGTCGTGAAGTTGAGCCTGGTAATTGGATATCCTTCATCGTGAAGTTGAAATCCAAGTGGGTAGTATTGTTCCGAGTTCAATATCCTCCGTCGTGAAGTTGAAATTGGCTCTGGAACTGGGAAATTGTTTGTTGACAGCCAGTCGCCCCTTCGTTGTGAAGTTGAGCTTGTGTTGTCTCGAGTTCAATATCCTTCGCTGTGAAGTTGAAATTGACTCTGAATGAAACTGAAAAGTTGTTTGTTGACAATCAGTCGCCCCTTCGTTGTGAAGTTGAGCTTGTGTTGTCTTAAGTCCAATATCCCTCGCTGTGAAGTTAAAATTGGCTCTGAAACTGGGAAGCCCCTTCGTCGTGAAGTTGAGCCTCAAATGGCACGATATCCTTCGTCGTGGAGTTGAAATCGTGGATGTGCAGGTACGATATCCTCCGTCGTGGAGTTGAAATCGCGGATGGCTCCTTCGTCGTGAAGTTGAGCCTTGACTTGAATATCCTTCATCGTGAAGTTGAAATCCAAGTATTGTATGTTGTGGGTGGACACGATTCCCTTCGCCGTGAAGTTGAAACCGTGGATGACCCCTTTATTGTGAAGTTTGGCTTCGAGTTAGATATTCTCATCGTGAAGTTGAAATCTACTCTCGAGCAAATTGTGTCGCTTTGAGTTCAATATCCTTCGCCGCGAAGTTGAAATCGACTCTAGCTAAAACTTGAAAAAGTTATGCATATATGTGATGTTATGGATGCAATGCTCTTAGGTGTGCCTAAAATGCATATGCAACATATGTTATCTTGGGGCTCTGGAGAGAAATCTTGATCTCCGGTTGCCTGTCTGGAATCTTGATTCTTGAATCTTCAAGTTCTGATCCCTGATCTTGAATTCTTCAAATGTTCAAATTTGATGCGTACATTCTATTTTTAATTTGAGAAATGCTTCTCGACCATCTCAAGTATGTGTCTGAGCTGAGTGTAACGGTTCAGATGATGCTTTAAGAGAAGTTGTCTCAAAAGAGATAGAATTCATTTCAAGGGAAACTATCTCAAAGATATCTGTTGTTTCATGAAAACGGTCTCAAGGGAAACAAAATTTTGTTTTAAGGGAAATAAATTTGAAGATTTTGTGTTTCAAGAGAAACTGTCTCAAGGGAGACAAAATTTGTTTTAGGGGAAATAAATTTAAAGATTTTGTTTCAAGGGAAACTGTCTCAAGAGAGACGAAATTTGTTTCAAAAGAAACTGTCTCAAGAGAGACAAAACTTAGTTCCAAAAGAAACTGTCTCAAGGGAGACGAAATTTGTTTCAAATAAAACATATTCAAATATTTTGTTTCAAGGGAAACTGTCTCAAGAGAGACAAAATTTGTTTCAAGGGAAACTGTCTCAAGAGAGACGAAATTTATTTCAAGGGAAATGTTTTCAATGTTTATGTTTCAAGAGAAACTGTCTCAATGGAGGCAAAATTTTGTTTCAAGGGAAACTATCTCAAGAGAGACAAAATTCATTTCAAATGAAATGTTTTCAATGTTTTTGTTTCAAGAGAAATTGTCTCAAGGGAGACAAAATTTTGTTTCAAGGGAAACTATCTCAAGCGAGATAAAATCTTCTTTTTAAAAACAGTCTTGAGTGAAATGAAATGCCTTCTTTCAAGTGAAACAGTCTCAAGTGAGACAAAGTCTGTTTTAAGAAAAGCAATCTCAAGTGAGATAATCATCTGCATTAAATGAGACTGTCTCAAGCGAGACAAAATTTATATTGGAAATGTTGAATCTGAAGATGAATGTCGATCTTTCAATCTGTCGAGTTGGTTGAAGTGTGACTTCTTGCTGCTGAGTTAAGCAATCACCATCAATTTTTACAAACTCTTTTGAATCAAATATCTTTCTCCTTGAAGTTGAAACTTGACTTTAAAGCTACAAAACTTATGTATGTGAAAAAATGATAAATATGATGCTCTAAAATGTATGCATAATGAATGAGTTCTTGTTTTATTCCTTGGATAGAATCTTATTTTTTGCTTGTTGGTTCCTACATGTGGAGGAAAAGCCTTCGGAATATCTGATCGTTCGCATCAGATTTTGAATCCCCGGAGATGCCCCATTATTCAATGTTGAATCTCCAAAAATGCTCCAACATTAAAATTGCCCCTATTGTTCCTCATTTCTTGCTTCAACATTAATTCTAAGCATGAGATTACTATCTGATAGCCACATGTCATTTACCAAGATCCACTCTAGAGAGATTGTCTTGTTTGAAAAAATGTTTCTCTTTTATTTTCAAAGTTCTGAAAATATCAATTAAAGAGTTTCAAAAATGTTTAATCAAAAGTTTTGAAAATATTGCCCCTTTCACGGTTTTACAATTGAGACGAATCATAAAAGTAGAGTTCATTGGATATCAAAGAATTAATTACAATGTTAATCCTTCAATAAATTATAGCTATTTGACACGTGCCAAGATCAAAGCTATTTTTGGGAAATGGTTAAGTAAGGAAAGAATAAAAAGTCTCAGGTTATTGTGTTTGGTCAAAGGTTTGACATTTTTTGTTTATTTGAGGCTCAAAGGTTTGATGGGGTACCTTGTATGCTCCTCTACTGGAAGTGTTCTCCGACTCCCAACTTTCATGGTCATGCTCGGATTGTGCGATGCCTTATCAAGGAATTTGTGCGATCGCCTTAGCTGCCCAATTTTCGTATTCGAGCCGCCTTTTCAGGTTTTCAACTCGAATCCTCCTTTGGTTTCAAGACGTCATTCGTAATTTACGCCTTGAACCCCCCTTTGTTATTTTTCTCTATTATACATTAATTACACTGTTTTTTTGCAAATAACGATTAGTCCTGATGGGCGGGATGAAATCTGAAGATAATCTCTTCTGTTTAGAAATCCATGTATGATTAGAAGGGACTTTTAAGGCACATAACGTAGGTCATGGTTCATGGTTATAAAATAAATGGATAAAAGTCTTAAACAAGTGTTTAAGGGTGATTGAACCAAGGATCAATTCATTCTGACGTCTTCAATCATATCTTGCTCAATTTGAATCTGCTCGTATGTGTGTGTCTTTTGATGCTCTATGATCTTCGAGTGGAGTGATTCATAAATTCAGAAATGATTGTGCTTGATCAATCTCATTTGATGCTCTATGATCTTCGAGTGAAGTGGTTCAGTGATTTGATCAATCTCATAGTTTGAATCTCGATGCGTCGTTTAAATCGAGAGAATCTTTGCATATGCATATTGTCTTCTTTTTTCTTCAATTTTCCTTGTTTTTTCTCTTTTTATTTTCTCTTTTCTTTTTTTCTCTTTTTTCTCTTTTTGTTTTGATTGAATCTTTGCACTTGGCATTTGGTTCACCTTTCGGTATCTCATCTGAATCAATGTCTTCACTCATGCGAGCATATTTTCTCCACTTTGCCCCCAGTGTGGAGGGTGATCCTTGGTTAGGGTTGAATCAGAAGAAAAAAATACTATAGGCTCAAAAGGGGACACAAGGGATATATATTTTCTCTTGTTGTGAAGGGATGAAGAAAGAAAGTCGTTCATCATTTCATACATGGAAGTCCTCACAGAAGAGGTATCCCCAGGGGGATAGATTTTCATGATTAATTTTATTCACATGAAAACAGTGTAATTAATGCATGGTAGAATTATTTCGAGTGAATTCTTCTTTCTGCTTCTTTCCCCCAACATGTCTCAATGTTCAGGCTCCCTGCGAGATGCCCCAAGTTGTGTCTTAGAAGAATGCTCATGTTCAAATGAACAACTCAATGCCTTGGTTTTAATGGTATAAAAATGTCAATTTTGAGTCTAAAAAGACAATGATGTGACTTTATTGACTCAAAGATAGGTATGGGTGTATCAAAAAGATAAAGGCATTGTTAAAAAATTTCAAAGGGAGGTAATGTCAAAATTTGGTCTTTTTGGTAATGACCATGAGTTATTTTGGGTAAAGAATCAAGGTATTTTATTTTGAGGTTTGACATGATAAGAAAGGTATAACCTTGTCATATATCAAAAATCCATAATTCTTGAAGAATTAAAAGAATCCTTAATTCATTTAATATTTGAAAAACTAAAGATTAAGATTTGTTCAATCGCTCCACCTTAGAAAGTAGGATAAATTCAATCGTTTAAAAGATACAAACATGAAAGATCAAAGACTTGTTTAAACAAAATAATCCTCTAAGTGCAAATGATATATGCAATGCCCCTTCTTCGGTTGTCCGTGCCCCTGAACCCATCAGGTTTTGGATCTGCGCTTCAGCGCCTTATAGTTCTCAAAGAAATATTTGGAGCATCCTATGTGGCAACTGCAAACAGCTTCAACATCATAGCCCTTAGGATATGTGGACTATTTTCTCAGATCATCTTGGCAGGCTTAGTCGTACAACCAGCTGATCGAGCTCATTCGTTATGATTTCAGTTTTTCTTTTGATGTTACAATCTTGCTTCTATGTGGTGTCATGTGGTTAAAACCACTTCATCGAATTCTCCATGAAGAAATTTCATGTTTATGAAAATGCTTAAAAATGAAATGTAGATGCAAAATGCAAAATGCAAAAATGCATGAAATGCTCGAAGCATTGATCCAAAAACATGTCTGTTATTGTAAATAACCTTTATTGGGACAAAAGTGTTTTATCTTTTAAGAGACAATAAACATATTTAAAGGTACATCCGGACTAAATCCTCTAGACCCGGAACAGGTTGACTAGTTATTTGCCTTCGTCTTTCACCGGTTGAATAACCTGTTGAACCACTCCGGCCTCTCTGGATGAACCATGAAAATGTTGAGTTGTTTTTTGTACTGGTTCCCAAAAAGTATCGAATGACTGCATCTCTGGCTTTCATCCTTTGTTGAATCGGAAATTCCATTGAAATCCTCCATCAAAGGGATTATCCGAAGTTCATTTGCTTGTTTCTTGAATTTGTCGGCAGTGACTTGCCATCTTGTTCTTGTTGTCTTTGAATGGACTCTCGAGGTCAGTAACCTTTTTCTCGTCTTGCCCCTGCCATCTTTGTCAACCCATTCTTGAAAAGTTAACTTTTGATGTACTTGATTGTGGGCACCATGTCTTCTTGATCGAATGTGACACATAGTTGTCTTGCAAATTGTCCTCATTTTCTTTCTGAGTCTTTTCTGACCATAGTCGGACCCTGCGTTTTTCATCTCTTGTATTACAACCCCTTTGTCCATTAATGCAAATTATTTATGGTTAACGAACACGTTTTTTTGTGTGGATCAACACCTCTTTTGAATGATACAGATGATGGAAATAAAATAAAAGAGAGAAAAATTGAAAAGAGTTAGTAAGGTAAATATAATAATAATGAAAATAAAAGGTCCTACCCCACATGATATCTACCCCACATGCTTTAATTCTTACCCGACATGATCTCTATCCCGTATCTATCCGCATATTTTTCTAGTTCGCATGCTTTGAACAGAAAGTAATACATGAAACAAAGCAACCTAGGGTTTGGAATGAGGTTTTGGGGTGGGCTCTAATTCTCATAGCCTCCCGGTTTAGGTTCTGAAAAACGGGACCCGAGTTCTCCTTACCGGTGCCCCCTTGGGCTTACTAGACCCTTAGTACTAAGCCCATTACAAGCTTATGTGGACTAAGTTAAACTCGAGAGGAAACATTCCCTTATGCCCACACGGTGAATAAATTCACACGAAGACATAAGGTATATGAATCCCAAAGGCTACTTGCTAGGCCCGCACGGTGAATAAATTCACATGAAGGCGTCGCTTTCACCCTCACTTAAAAGGGTTCGGAGCTCGGGTATAGAGCTAGAGATGGAAACTTTTTCAAAAATCTAAAATCATTGAAAAAACGTCAATACAACTATTTTCTTGAAAAAAATAATCAAAGATAAATAATTGGAATCGAATAAATAAATTAAAATTTAAACTTGTAATTTTCGCTAAAAAAAGACAACCGAAAATTAATTTCGGCCTGACTCACTTACCTGTCCCCAGCGGAGTCGCCAAGCTGTCGTAACCGTCTTTCGGTTGGGCCTCGAAATTGGGCTTCGACTTGAAAAATGTGGATTGGAATCGCCACCGACCATTTTAAACCGAATTTAGGTGGGTCGGACACTATCTTACCTAATCTGCGTTTTTACCTGAAATGTGTCGGGTTCGGGAATCGGTTACGGTCAAGGAAGGATTAGCACCCTTGAACCGCCCTTTCGGTACCAATTAATTTGTCGGTTGTCTTAGTTGCGAAAATTCGAAATTAAAATTAAAATTTAACAGACCCGATTCAAATTACTTACAATTGATTGATTTGAATACCCTTAAAAGATAAAAATGTTTGACTCGTAGCGGAGTATAAAATCGAATTAGGATAGAAAGTGTGCAAACGTAAGAATAATAAATAAAACAATAAAAAATGAAAATAACAAAACACGTAAAAATTAATAAAAAAAATAATAATAATAAACAAAATGAATAAAATGTTTAAAAAACAAAGACACAGATAAAGGGAAAATATTAATGAAGTAAAAAAATAAAAAAGGTAAAAGAAATTAAAAAGGAATAAAAATAATGTGTACATATAAAGTAGTATTTACTAAAACAAATAAAAATAATAAATATATAATACTAAGTAAAACAAATAAAAATAAAGATATACATGATATTAAGAAAAATATAATAGAAAAAAATAAAATAAAGTAAAAATATAATATATATAAATAAAAATAAAAATAGAATATTAAGAAAATATATACATAAAAACGTTTAAAATATAATATTAAGAAAACACATATATATACATAGTAAATGGAGAAAAATTAATACATCTATACATATATATATATATATATAATGATATAAGATATATATAATAAAATAATATAATATAAATAAAAAAAGGAATATAGTAAATAAATAAATAAATATAATTAAAATATATATATATATAGGGGATGAAATTAATATAAAAGTAAAATTAAAGGGTAAATTTCAAGGTAAATTAAAGATTAAGATTGACTTCGGGGGAATATTAAATACTTTAAAAAAATGAACATGCCTCGGGAGTAGATCTAGGTTTGAAACTTCGAAACCCCACCCCTTTTTGGTCATCGGCGCAACCCACGCTTTAAGTTATTCAAACCAAATCTCAAGAAAAATAACATGCACATGCGAGAAATGAACGAATCAATGTAAAAAAAGATGCTACCTTTTATTTCCTTTTCGAATCGTTTACAATAGGTTTGCCTTTGTATTTTTTCGTGCTTTCCTCTGTATCTTGTATGTAAATCATGTGTTACAAATGGGGAGGATTACATGTATTTATAGTGAAAAAAACTAACTATTTTTAGAATCCTATTAACAATAGAATCTTAATGCAACTAGACTCCTTGCTCGGTTGTTACACGTTTATTGGTGTGGTTGTTGCTTTAAAAGATATGGTGGTGGAAGAATCCTCTTAGGAGATGAACTCTTGCTAGTTTTATCTTTTAAGAAAATGGGTGTCTACAACATGAAATCAAGCAATGTCCTGCTTGATGAGAACTTGGAAGCCAGAGTTTCTGATTTCGGGATGGCAAGGCTTATGAGTGCAATGGATACACATTTGAGTGTCAGCATATTAGCGGGTACTCCCGGCTATGTTCCTCCAGAATACTACCAGAGCTTTCGATGTTCAACGAAGGGTGATGTTTACAGTTACAGCGTTGTCTTGCTCGAGTTGCTAACAGGGAAAAGGTCTACAGATTCAGCCGATTTCAGAGATAACAATCTTGTGGGACGGGTGGAACAGCATGCCAAGCTTAAAATAAGTGATGTCTTTGACCCAGAGCTGATGAAAGAGGATCCCAACCTCAAGATAGAACTCTTACAACACTTAAAGGTAGCATGTGCTTGCTTGGACGATCGACATTGGAGACAACCCACGATGATTCAAGTGATGGCAATGTTCAAGGAAATACAAGCAGGGTCTGGACTCGACTCTCAATCGACCATTGTCATCGACGACGGAGGTTTTAACACAATCGAAATGGTAGACATGACCATAAAAGAAGTCCCTGAAGGTAGGTAAGCAGCAGATGTAAAAACTAAAATTTTCACGAGAAATTCTTTTGCAGATAAAGAAGGTGGTGGGATTGATTTCCCATAGAATTTTCCATCTTCTTTACTTCAAGAATCGAATACAACTGCCCTCTTTGTATCTCTGCCATTTCATGTATCTATCTTGTATCCCTCCCAAAAATCTTGTTATAAATTAAAACAGAAAAATTAATTTGTTGCTCGACTTTTTTATAAATGTGTATATATAGTACTAGTTGTTGGCATTTTTATCGAAAAATTATTGGTGACCGGTATATTTACCGATCTAACACTAGTCAGATTATATTTCCCGATCTAACACCCGTAGCAGTAAAGCGCGCTCCCTGTCCCGCGCTATATGCTGATTTGGCACCACGTGGGGTATAGCGTACCCCCTGTACCACGCTATACACTGACATGGCTTACACGTGGGTATAGCCTACCCCCTGTTCCGCGCTATAGCTATTTATCTGACACGTGGGGTATAGCGCGGTACAGGGGTACTATACCTTTAATTACCCCCAACCTTCCCTATAAATACCCCTCGTCCATTACTTTCATCATACCATATTCTCTCAAATACTCTCTCTGTTTAAGGTATATTTTATAATATTTTTAATATTATGTATTTAATTTATTTAAGTATTTTACTTTATTTATTATTTTACTAATATAATTGTTTTACATATATATAATGGAAGGCGGTCTACTTCGCTTGGATGGAAATCATATATCTCGATGCTTTACTGATACGGTAACATTTTAACGTTTTAATTTAATTTAAATTATTTGTTGATTTATTTAATGCATGATTATTAGATTAAGAAATAATTTGTGTAATTATTATTTTTTAGGAGAATGACCTGTATTAGATCATTTTATTAGGAATCTTAAGTTAGTGATATCTAGTTGTGTCTTGTCGTATTTAGTAGAGGCTAGATTTGGTTACATAGGTAGATATCAGGGTCACTGTAAGATAGAACCATACCTTATTTCTGCCTTATTAGAGCGGTGGAGGCCGAAGACCCACACATTCCATCTTCCGTGCGGAGAGTGCACGATTACACTTGAGGATGTTGCTAAGCACCTAGGGCTTTCTGTGGATGGAGATGTGATATCAGGGATCTCGCATGGTTCCTGGACTACTTTGTGTCGGGATAATCTATGACGTGTCCCGGAAAGTTTTATCAGAGGTAGGATACCGTTAAATTGGTTAGATGCCAATTTTCGGGAGTTGAGCGCAGACGCCTTGAGGATGAAGTTAAGATGTATGCACGGGCATGCATACTGCAGTTGATAGGAGGGTTCCTGATACTGGACAAATCGCGCAACCTAGTTCAATGCATGTGGTTGCGACATCTTAGCGATTTTTGTCTGGCCGGATCATTCAATTGGGGCTCGGCAGTTTTGGCTTTACTGTACAAGGAGATGTGTGGAGCCACTGACTACAGGCGTAATGCTATCAGCGGATGTCTCCTGCTGCTGCAGTCTTGTGCATGGTATCGATTGCCCTTTTTATGTCTCGTTATGAAGAACCCATTCGTATTTCCACTACTTCTGAGGTAATTATAAAACTGATTTTGTATATTAATAATTTTATATAAGGTATAATTTTTTTTCCTTGAATAGGTGGTCTACTAATAGGAAAAATCATCAGGAGCTACATGATGATTTAGAAAATATTAGGGTGCTAATCGATCATAATGCTGGCACACATGTATGAATTTTAATGTTTAAAAATCGATTTTAGATTATAGTTATATAATTAGATTATTATTTTGATAAAAATTATATAATATTTTTTTAGTTTGAATGGGTGTCATATTGTACTGATGATGTAAGGGCGGTGATCCCACCTGAGTTGAAGGGCCCATCAGATGTTTGGATGGTGATGGTCTCTCTGATCTGTTATACGACCGTCGAGTGGCACTCTACTGATCGCATGTTCCGGCAGTTTGGTTGTTTTCAACCAATTTTGGAAGCACCTCGAAATGGACGAGTTGCATAGCTTAGATAGACGCGGCAAGACAGATACAGATTGGCTGGTGAGGCATCATGAGTGGGTCGTGTTGTGGGAGGATCGACATCGGCGCCTTCCCCGTAGAGCCCATTTTTTATGACCTCTTGATGTTTGCTGATAGTTATTATGAGTGGTTCAACAGTAATGGGAAACTGTTTCTACTTCCCGAGGATGCACGAGGGCAGACCTTTCCGTGACGTCGACAGAGACGTTCACCGACACAGCACCATCGTCCCCCGACTCGTGGACAGAGAACAAGTGCTTCCGGTTCATCCTCAGCTATACCAGCAGGACCTTCACAGCAGCCACTGCAGCCATTTATGATGCCGCAACCATATATGATGCCGCCGTCTTTCCATTACCAGATGTCGCCGCCGCCGCCTTCACAGATGACCCCTCCTAGAGGCTATTATGGGTCTATGTTTGTAGATCCGACCTGGGGTTCATATACTGGATATCTGGCGAGTCCAGCCTCATCACCCATGGCCGCATCACAGACACCTCCTGTACAGTTTTCACACTCAGCGATGTCTGGGTTTTATGAGTTTTCGCAGGCCGGTGGGATAGTCAGTCATACACCTCCAGGGTCCTTATTCTATGGAGGTTCTTCGTCGTCATCAACTCCTCATCAACCTAATGTACCTGCTCAGGACGATGACGACGACGATGACGACGACGACGACGATGATGATGACAGCGAGGAGTCAGAACCAGTGATATGAAGAAATGCTCCTCGAGACCGACAGCCACTGCCCTGCGGAACACATTCGCGACGCAGGCATCGATAGATTTTTTATTATATTTGTATTTACTTTATTTTGTTAAATTGTAATTTTTTTATTATTTCTCATTTAATACTTACTTTATTTTGTTAAATTTATTGGACTTTTTTTAATGTATTTTAGTTAATTTTATTTATTACCATTTAATATCAGTTATTGTAATTTGGTTATCATTTACCTTTTAATTCTTATTGTAAGTTTGTTGTATTTAAATACCAAATTGTTATTAGTTTGATAAAATTTAATGATTGTGTTCGTTTTATTAATCTTCATCAGCGATTATCGAATGACATTAACTTGAAGTAAATACAAATTAAAGTACAAGAATTATTATTTGATAAACAAATACATCATTTCCTCATCAATTGTTACTTGATGACAACAGAAGTGGACATGTTTTTCTAGTGTGTCTTGGGTTTCTACAATGGTCACATATTCTGTCTTGTCTAGATCTTTCTCGAATATCTATATCGCAATAAATTCGATTGGATTTTGGACGACCACGCTCTCTCAATAAACTCAGATTTGGTACAATCGGAAGCCAATCTTGAACCTCATCAGGGTCTTTGTCATTACCTATGGGGGGAAACTCAAATTTGTATACCTTAAAAACTTCATATAGTAGGTATATGGGATCCACAAAATGGTTATAGTCTTGAAGTGTATGCGAGCAAGCTGCTATCACATGAGAGCATGGATACTTCAGAGCTTGAAAAAACCTGCAGTTACACGTTCTGTCCCTTAGATTTACTCTTAACGACACAGCTTCAATCCCTTGAAGAGGTCGCGGCAACTTTGTGACACGAAACATTTCATACCTTCTAGAGAAGCTTGTTACAGACATTCCATTTGATGCAGCAATTTTTTTCTGTAGATCTGCAACTAATATAGGGTGATAGACATGACCGCCTTACATCCAGGTTTGAGCTTATCCCCCAAGCTTTGCAAAAAGCACCCCCAAACGAAAATATGTAGCTTTTACCAAAGCCGCTACAGGTAAGTGACGTGCACCCTTTAAGGTTGAATTGATTGCCTCAGCCAAGTTGGTTGTCATGTGTCCATATCAATATTCACCATCATATGCGTTCATCTATATTTCTTTATCGATGAGGCTGATGTAATCGTATCCTTCCTCGTTCTTCGCCTGTAAATCTTGAAGCATTGATTCAAATGTTCGAGGAAGTAGTTCGTAACCTGATCAAAAAATGTATAACTTACTAACTTGCTTTCTTTGCAAAATTAAAACAATTGAAAGAAAACAAACTACATCAGTTTCACTTACCATGCGCACAATTAATTGACGCTCATCATTCTTCTTGTACCTTCCATGATAGTTCGCAGCAATGTGTCGGAGACAATACCTATGTTGAACAAAGGATGGTTGCCGCATTGGACCCAAAGACTCCATTGCTGCTTTGAGCCCAGCTCCACGATCTGAAATGACACAGATGTTTTCCCTCGTGATAACATGTGCACATAAATTTTGGAGGAAAAAAAGCCCAAGAATCTGTATCTTCTCCTTTGACAATAGCAAAAGTAACTGGAAGAATGTTGCGATTGCCATCTTGGACAACTGCCAATAATAAAACTTGCTTGTATTTTCCATACAAGAAAGTCACGTCGATCTGGACCACAGGCTTGCAGTATTTGGCAGCATTAACGCACTGTGGGTAACTCCAAAAAACCCGATAGAATTGGCTTTGATCGCGAAGAACTCGATCATTATGGTATGCATAGGAGCTTTCGAAGTCCACAATTGTCCCAGATTCAACGTCCGCACCAGCCTAAACCAACCTGGAAGTTCGTTGTAAGATGCATCACATTCACCATGAAGTTTGACAATGGCATTTTGTTTTGCCAACTAAGCTTTTTTATAGGAGACAGTGTACCCATACTGTGATTGTATAGCTGAAATCAAAACAACAACAGTTATATGAGAGCTTGCTTTTACCATGGCCATGATGGCTTGGCATATCATTTCAGAGTCCAAATTGGAATGATCTTGGTTGACCCCTCCAGCACAACATATGTAAGGACCGTTGTATACTATTAGTTCTCATATGTTATTTTCCTCATCATTTTCGATACGCGAACCATCCAATTGCATCCGTTTTTGCGTCGGGCACAATAGCATACATATTTTTTGGTCGTCAATCGATTGACTCTGAACTGAACAGAATTACGGATATTGTAATTTTTTATAGCCATCGCCGCTTCTTTTTTGCTTGAAAACTCCATGCCTAAATATAACTCACCATTATTTATTGA